TTTCTTTAATAGTACTAAATGAATTAATATTTGCACAAAGATGATTATGTATATTTTCTACAAAATAATTATTAAAATTAACTAAATAATTAGATAATGCTTCTGCTAATAGATAATTTATATCACTCCAATAAAAATAATCTGAAAGAAATACTAAAGATACTTTGTTATAATTTTTTCTTTCTCATCTTAATGCAAATATCTATAATCTAAATATAGTTTCAATATATTGATCAAATAAACCTGATCTAAATAATATAGTATATATATCTAATGCTGTAAGTATTAAATTATCTAAAATATCTAATAGCATTCGATATTCTATATCTTTACATGTACTATTAAATTTAGCTAATATAATATAGGCTATAGCTTTCCATCATTCATGAATTAATTCTAAAATTAAATTAATTCTCTATGGTCTTAGTTTTTTTGCTAATTTTTTTTTGTTACCAAAAACAAAATGAAAAAATTGTTCAAAAAATTTATAATGAACAAGAAATACTTGTTCTCAAAAATTTAAAGAAACATGAAGTAGACCTAAAATTAGAATAAAAATTTTAATATTTTTTGATATTAAATTTAGATTGTGTAATTATTTTTCTAATAAATAATTGTCCTGGCCAATCTGCAATAACTGGTATTATATTATTTTTTATATAATGTAATAATGTATTAATATTAGTAATCATTTTAGGAGCTTTTAAATAATTATTCATTGAATGTAAATTTGATTTTTTAACTTTAACAACTCTTATATTTTTCATAGATCTTTCTTCTTTATGCTCTTTAATTGCATTATCATATATATGTAAAGTTAATAAATCAATACAATTTTGAGAATTAATTTGACAATTTCTAGAAGATATCTATTCTATTTTACATTTATTATAACTTTTATTAAAACAACCATTATATTTAGAAGTTAAATTAAGTATAATTCTAGTTGGTTCAATATTTTCTGGATTAAAAAATGAATGACTATTTAAAATTGCTGGAACTGGTTGTTGATTTTTAATTAATTTAGTTACACATATTGCTAAATAATTTGTGGTTTAAAGTATTGTATTATTCAGTTATCATAAAGTATGAATATTATAAAAATCATCAATATTAAAACAATGAAAACTATTTAACTAAATATAATTTATAAATAAATTATAATTAATAAATTTTTATTAAAATTATTATAATATAAAATTTTACTTATATGAGAATTAAAATATTCATTAATTGTAATTAAATGATTTTTTTTTAATTTTTTCTCTATAATTATATAAAGTTTTTGAATTTATAGTTATTCTAGCTTTCATAAAAAAATCAATTCCAGTTGTACTTAATCTACAAAATGATAAATATAAACTAAGATCAGTTTTATATTTATTTACATTTTGACTATATAATTCAGCTAAAAGATAACATGACTAATAATTTGTTGTACTTTTTTTTATTTTTTCAGTTCTTCTTTTAGAAACTAATCCATTTGTCATTTCATCTAAAAATCTAATTAATTGAGGTTCTTCTGTTTCAATTAATTGTTTAAAATAATCTGAATCTAATAAATAATCATTATATTGTTCTTTATATTATATAAAACCTTTGTTAATAATTGTAATTGATTAGAAAATATATTTTGTGATGCTGTAAAATAAATAAATTTAAATTATAAATTGAAATATAATATTTTAATATTAAAACTATAATAATAATAATAATAATAATAATAAACTTATATTTTTGTATTAAATTATTATTGTTATTATCATAATTAATAATACTATTAATTAAATTGTTAAAATTTGTTCGATCAATAAATACACTATTATCAATAATTTTTATCTTTATATTTGAAAAATTATTAATATCCATATCAATATATTGTTGCTCTTTATAAAATTTTAAATAATCAACATAATCAACTAGTGTATTATTTAAAATAATTTTAATAGTTTCAATAATATCACCTAAATCTACAAAAGTTCTAGGTTTTTTATTTTCAGATATTTGAGCTGCAACAAAATTAACTATAC